ATCATTTTGACTGACTAGTGATTGCTGGTCAATTAATTGTGAGTTTTGTGAGATGTTTATCTCATTTCTTGTTGAAGTAGGCTTTCGAAGGACGTGACAAATCAGTGGATCACGTGTGGACGACATACGATGCGGGTTTGAAGGGTTTGAAGACGACACATTGACTGCATCTAAAGCAGAAGAATAACTGGCTGATGATCGAGACTGTATGATAGTATTGGTAGTCGGTGAGAATTGGTGTTGTTGTTGTTGGAATAAATTGAGATTAGAGGATGAATGCGGCGGATCAACTTGAAGGATATTTGAAGATAATGGATGTATAGTGGTGCTCCTCTCATTTGTGAGCATATTAGATGTTTGTTCATTCTCAATTGTAACAACATTGATCAATTCATCGTCTTCACTACAACCCTCGTACTGATGATCCATTTTTGTTCTCGAATTATTCAGTTCATTAATTCGCGTGAAATTTCGATTTGAGCACTTATCGGTTGCTTGATTATGGTTATTCGAATTGAACGACGATGCACAAGACGACGAATCAACCAGATCACCAAGCACACCGTCGTCGTGTTGACTGAGAAACATTTCGTGACTTTTACAATCACCAACGAAATGCTGCTGCTCATTCACAGAGCTCCTGCTTCCTTGACGTAGGGCGATGTCATAATCATGAGCCATACGAGACTCATGTGCCTCACCTGATGTCTCGGCTTTTACACTGTGCTCGTTCGGATAGCCATAAGTTTCTTCTTGGAATGACATTGCTGCTGAGTTTGCAATGTTAGCATCGCTTTGTTCGATGGCTTCGTTACGCTTCTTTGTTTTCCTAAATGAGTGAAGAGTATCAATATGATTAAGAACTCTTGTGAAAATTCTTGTGAAATTGAAGATTCTTGTGAATTCTTGTGGAAAATTCATATCAATTTAATGAAGTGTCACATTTTTGTGAATGGAACATCTTCAAATGAGTTGTGATAAACTAATATTATAAACTCTGAACAGAGCTGTGGCTGTGTGATTTTTCAAGTTTAAAGACGATTAGTCGGCACCATTGCGGCAATCACAAATTGAAACATCAAACAACACTGAATAACACGAACGCATGTTTTTTGGCCCGATAGTAGGACCGACGAACATTTTTCCACAACGGATATTTTGTCGATACAGAGAACATTCTCTTCGACAATTCTTGCGAATTTGCGGCCGATCGTACAGTACGTTCGAATCCCTAAAGCTAGGCATTGTAGGATTTCACTGGTTTGCGATAAAGAAATGCATTCACTGAAATACACGAACATCGAGTCGCCTTCCAAGAGTCGAATTCAACCGACTTAAGGGGATATTTTGTTTTGTTTTTTTTTGTCAAAAACATTTGCAGAGAGCAATGACCCGTAGAGATTACAGCACCTCATTGAATGCATTGCGCGGCAGTTGAAGA